GCCATGTAGTCACGCCCGTACCTTACAAAAACTTGGAAACCAGATCTGAGCATCGTAAAATCTTGCCTATTTCAGATCTTGTCCAGACATGGTGCATGTTTCGTTTGGACATGGACATGTCTGAATCAGGACTGAGGCAGGTATGGATTCTATCACAAAAGCAGATCTGCTCAAGGTCTGATTCAGACCTGGAACATATATGGGTCAGACCTGGTGCAGGTCTGTTCAGATCTGACCCATATATGTTCCAGGTCTGAATCAGACCTTGAGCAGATCTGCTTTTGTGATAGAATCCATACCTGCCTCAGTCCTGATTCAGTCATGTCCATGTCCAAACGAAACATGCATCATGTCTGGACAAGATCTGATGAAGGCAAGATTTTAAGATGCTCAGATCTGGTTTCCAAGTTTTTGTTGGATAGATTTCCACTCACTAAATTTTCAAAAAGACTCCGGGGCAGATCGATTCAAGGGTCTAAAAACAGTTTTGATCATTTTTTTTGCAAACAAGGCGAAAAAACAAGCTGTTTAAAAGATTTATTGAAATGTTTTATTTTCATTATTTTAACTAAAACACCTGCGAGATGTTGAAGAACAAGAAAATGAACCACATAAATGGGGCACCAATTTCCAACCCCCAACGCAGTTTATAACATTAGAAGTCGTTTTTGAAAATTTTCAAATATTGAATTTGAGAAAACAGGGGGATGGAAACTGGAAAAGAAGCCCTATACAGAAGACCAGAGTTCGTTTTTTTCATATGAAACTATGTCACGAGCATAATGGATTAACTATTTTGTAACATCTACCAAGTTCGGGGGAATATTTTTTATTTCATTTCATGCATCAAGTGGTCGAATGAGTCAGGTAGTTTCCGACTGAACTCATGAGGAACTGTTCCTGTCTCGACAGATCTTCTAGACTGTTCAGTTCCCGCAAACTGCGGCCTCCTTCCAAGTTGTCATTACCTCCGACGCCATTGTAATTTTCACTAGTCGCGCCACTCGTGAACTGAGTCTGATTCGACTGCGTGACTGGAGATGCCGCGTAGTGCAGTAACGATGGCGGGTGTCCAGATGTCTGAGGTTGGTTTCTATCCGACGTGTGGTATCCCTGGGCGTCTCCGGCAGCACCTACGCTTTGTCCGGAAGTAGACTGGTGATGCATTGACAGAGAAGGCGGCGTCGTAAGATGCTGAGGTGTGTTTGTGATGGACTGCAGCGGGAATTGAGCAGGCGATGCCTTGCTGCTACTGTTTCCCGTTGGCGCCTGTTGATTTGTATGGTTGCTGTTTAGAGTAGAACTCGACTGATGTGGAGCAGGAAGAGAATTTTGTTGATTGTGCTGATGGAGAGAGCTGTGAGTTCCTTGAACATGAGTATGTACACTTGGTAGAAACCGCCTTTGGAAACAGCAAAAAATACCTGAAAACCACAAACATTACAATTGAGACCACTTTGACCTGAGCTGCACTATATGATAATTTCTTTTTATAAAGCTAAATAATTTATAATTTTCCACCGGATAAAGCAACGCAAATGGGCTGCTCAACAGATACCGTTCAAAAAGCTCCTCATTTTTAGTAAAGACAGTGAAAGAAACATTGAATAATACCTTTCCGTTGGACTCGCAGAGAAAGCGCAGTTTTTGTATCTGGTAGTGGCAGAATACTCCGTCCAGGTTTCCAGTATCTATTGCTCGGATCTCGATGGAAGTCGTGCAGTATCATAACACATGATTCGGACCGACCGCCGCTAAAATAGATGTTACAAAATTGAAAAAGAAACTGATTTCCAACATGTCAGAAGCTTTTTGGGTAATTCTAACTTTTAAAAAGTTTACAATTTAAAAAGCCACCACTGTGTAAGCAAAAGCAGTTAATGAAGCTTTCATTTCCCATTAACTGTCAACTATGACCATTTTTTGCTTCCTAGACGTGTACTATATCCTTACCAACGGATGTCGGTGGTTCTCCCCATAGAAATGCGGCGTCTCTAAACGTCCTTCCATTTGTATCAACGTACACACCTTCGCCTGAAAATCAAATGATTAAACATCGAATGATTCAGCGCACACAGATTCTTTGACAAGCTATTTTTCGTGCTGAGCTAATGATGAACTGAAGGTAATTTAAAAAGATTAGGTTAAGTATCCTATTGAACATAATTAGAATTTGGAACTGAATGCAGTTAGGCAAAATGTTTCAATTTACTGTTGTAGCACAAGAGTAGTTTGGTTCCATTACTGCCTGGAAATGTCGCCACGCAATGCGGCACAACTGACCCCGTACCCGTCTAAAACAGAAGTAGCCTTAGTGTCAATGAAACACATTGATAGCAATTTCCAACCGCAGTGTCATTTACAGACAAAGGGGAAGCTGAGCTTCGCATCACAAGAGAGACACAAGAGAAAATATAAGCTACAATTCCTGAAAGCCAAAAGTAAACGGCAATTGCTGAAAATCGTAAGAGATTTTGAAGTCCTAAAAAAATAATGCCTACAAGGAAATCAGATTTTTCTTTTCAACAGCATCAACAAGATGTAAATTGACCTAGGTCCGCAAGTCATTTAGCTAAGACACTGATAAGATTCCTTTACAAAACTCAGTTTTCAATCCAATATAACGTCAAGATACCGTGCTGAATATTTGGTTTTCAATTCCTCCTTGTAAAAAAAATATAGAACCGAATGATTCGGATTATTAGCAAAATCTGATTATATCTGTTTTGTCTGCACAAATCAAAATATTCTCAATTCAATTGCCTGTATATTCAATGCTCTATCTGCGAATATATCATTTACACAGAGGCGAAGCTGTGCTTCGCGGACACTTGCGACAACATAATCAAAAAGCAGCTCTATCAAGTTAAATAGGAAAAAGTAGAAATAAGCCTCGAGTTAGCAAAAAACTCGGCTATCTGCAGGATTCGAATGTGCGACCTACTGCAATCAATAGATTTTGAGTCTCCCGCACTATCCCCGCAACTACTCGAGCTTTACAGCCGACAAACACTAGTCACGAATAAAGCAGCTACATATGCTAGCAAATTGCCAATGCGATTCAGCACTAAATACAAATAGATACAAATTAGCAATTAATAGTTTGGAATATAACAAACTGAAGGCATCCACCCTAACTTTGCATGTAACAAAATGCGAAATATAAAACCACATTATGCATTTCAAAAAGTTGCGAGATATATTGAGTTAGAAAATTTCTAAAATTAAGTTTTTATTATTGTGATGTGGTTTGAAACAAATAGCTTTTTCCGGTTCATTCGATGAAATAAAAATGCATCAACTATGTTAATTTATTGTCCAAACACATGCAATCAAAAGCTGTAAAGGTGCCCCGCCATTTTGGGGTGCCGCACCAATATTTGCGACTTAGGTTGAAAAAAAATAAGGTTCGTAATAATACACTAGCTTCGCAAGAGTAATCAGGATCAGATGCGAATTTAGGGAAGCAGTTTCATTTCCTTTACTACTATTTGGTGAAATCTGTTTTTGTCGCCAATAAATGTTAAACTTAAGGGGGGAGCGCACGCCAAAAAAAAGCAATTTTTGTACCAAAATTTTGCAAAAATGGTCCAAAAACGGAAAATACCGGTGGCGCAGAACCATTTCACAAAATAGATTTATACAGTGTTTTAGGCAACCTCGGAAAAAAATTTGGTCGATCTAGAAATCCACCCACGAGAAAATGTTGTATCTTACATCCTGGCCGAGTATCTTGTAGTTGAACAGATTCAAATAGTATGCTCTGATTTTGCACTTGGCTCCAGAGATGCTGATCATGAGATTCAGATTGGGCAGAGTGTCTACCAACTGGAATTTCCTCCGCTTGATCAGCTGTGACACTGTAAAGACCAGATTGATATGATTTTTATGAGCTTTTCTGAACTCAAGTCCATTTTTATTAAGATTTCAATTAAATGCACCTAAAATAATTTTGTAATGAACTAGAAATGAAACTAATGAAGGCTAATCAATTGCAACGGAACCGAAAAAAAAATCCTAGCAATTTCAATTGCTAATGATTTTATTTAGATACTCTATTAAGCGATAATTATTCGTGTATTACCTTTGCCTTCGCCGCTCCTGTCGATAAAGAAGAGCAGTCTCAGTTCCAATCAGCAGATTCACACCTAAACAATACTGATGTTCTAGAGACGTTTTACACCATTAGTGAAAAAGACGCTCACTTTTTTCTGTGCTTATGAACTAGAGCAGGTACAGCAGCACCCAATTTATGGCTGCCGGTTGTCCTTTTCTTGCATGAAGTCAACCCCTCCAACACCTCTACCGTTCGTTATTGACCCTCTTCGACAAATTTTAATATGCTCGATATTCAACCGAGCTTATCTAAATTGTATCCAAAACCGCTTAAGATGCTAAGATATAATAACTTCGAGCTTCGAGAAATTGCGTTAAATATGAAATATGAGTTCATAAGGTGTGATAAAATAATTTTTCGATTTATAGTGAATTGTAATTTTGACCCCTATGCCGAATCAAATCATCCGTCGAAAAAAGTACAAACCATATTTTAAGTATAGCTGCTGTGAGTATTTCCTGTCTGTACTTCTTGCGGAACTGCCTGATCTCTGCGTCTGGCTGTTTGCTCGACTCTGCACTGCCAACAGTCACACTCACATTGTTCACACCTATGTCCCCACCCATGCCCACTCCCTGCTGCCCCACCCCTACAGACCCACTAGCTGTCCGAGCCAGGAGGGGCCCGAAAAAGGCATTGCTGTTGTTGTTTGAAGAGTTGGCCCAGCTCCACTTGCTGAACCAGACACGAATGTCGGCAAGTCCAAACCAGGCATGCCTCCCTTCTTCTGCAAACAATAATATACATATCCATTACAATTCGAATGAGAGAACAGTCCTCCTATATAAAACGGTCCCTCCTTTATTTGTGACCACCCTATTTGACATATAAGTTTGATTATGAGCAGAAAAGGTATTTAACGGCAAACAATTTAGTTTTCAACAAAAGTTTCTATCAATGCTCGCACAAATAGTTTTTATCAGCGAGCCAAAACAAATTACAAGAAATGATATTGTCCTCAAGTCATCTTTGTATGTTAAGCTCAGTAGCATATTGTACAAATCTGAAATAGTTTTTCCCATATGCATCCGGTTATCGCAACTGCAAGCTTTTGATCAGCGAGTTTCTTAAATATTAAACTAAAACGATGGGAGATCGACTCAGGTGGCACAAATAATACTCCTGCTAAACAATGAATCCTTTGTAAAAACACTTTTTCAATTTCTACAGACCGCGGGGAAGCTATTTTGGAATAATAGAAAAATCTGAAAATTTTTTTTCTTTTGCAGGTTTTTATTTTTAGCCACCCGACTTTTCGTTCTAGAATTATTACAAACACGTTATTCTAAAGCTCTACGTCTGTAGAATTTATTTCTATACCTGCTTTTCAAAAACTGAAAACAAGGACGTAATTTTAAACGAGTTTTAGTATTATTTGTTAAAATAACTATTTTCAACGATAAAAACAAGACACGTGACAAAAAATGAGAATTCATTCGAAAATTTCAAAAAAAAATTTTTTCAGATCTGATCATGTCTGATGCAGTTCTGGACAGATATGCAATCTCACAACAAATGGATTCACCCTGGGCATATCTGTATTTTTATTTTTTTTCTGTAACATTATAGTTTTTGTATCTTCCAGGTCTGTACATGTCTGATACAGTTCAGGACAGATATGCAATCTCACAACAAATGGATTAACCCTGGGCATATCTGTATTTTTATTTTATTTCTGTACGGGAATAAGCAATTATATTACAATTTTGGTACCAGTCTTACTTAATTTGAGAAAAAAAATGATTCAATTATCTCTTTTTGAAATCAAGTGATAATCAATTCTAATACATTTTACTCTATTATTAGTTTATCTATTTTCTTGATACAATAATAATCAACTATAATTGATTATAGTTGATTATTGTAATCTCAATTTCTAATTCATTGTTGTACACAAAAATTCCGTTAGAATCCCTTGATTATAATCCTTATTAAAATTTTTATTTTGGTTATAATCCTTGTGATTTGATTTGGACCTTACATCTGATTGCTTATAATTAAAGCTTTTCGTAGACGTTCCTTTATGTGAAAAATGTGAAATTTTTTTGAAAGCTTTTTTATATCGATTCAATTTTAAAATTTTTGTATTTTTTCATTCTCCATTGAAGTTAATTCATGATGAATTTTAAAAATTTTTTCAACCAAATATCAGCACATTGCTTTAAATTCATGATTTATTCGGACGATTTATTTTTCACCTTCCGCGGGAAATTTTCATCAAAAATGAAAGGATCTCTATGAAACTTTGTTTTGCGGTAAATTTTTGCGTTCAGATGAGCGAAAGTGTGAGAAGACATCTTGTTTTTAGAGATTTTGTTTTTCACAAAAAATATTGACCCACGAGATATAATTAAAATATACTTTTTTGCGTGACAGAGTTCTGGCAAAATAAGAGATTAGAATCAATTATAATCAGTTATAATGGTTTAAAGAGTTTTTGTATGAACTAATATCAATTAAAATCGGTTACAATACGTTTTAATTTATTGGAAAATGTTATGATTATAATCGATTATGAACCCTTTAAAGACCTAGTTTTGGTAATTAAAATCATTAAAAGTCGTCAACAATAACAATCCGTTATAATCGATTACTTGCCCCTAAACTCGGATGCGGGTATTGCATTCATTTAAGTTATAGTTAAATAAATAACGATTGCAATTATGCTTCAGTAAATGAAGTTTCAGAAAAAAATCAAAGGCATAAACTCGAAGTAGTCGTATGATTTTTTTTAGCACAAGGCGTTATCATTATTGGCGTCATTACAATTTTTCGTCTGTGATTGCTTTAAATTCATATTTTATTCGGAAGATTTATTTTTCAGCTTCCGCGGGAAATTTTTCACCTTCCGCGGGAAATTTTTGAGTTACTTGTTTTCATTTTCCGTTGTTAAATGCGATAAAATTGTTGTCAACTGTTGTTTAGATAAGGAGCAAAAAATCCTGCTATTCCGACTGTTCATATAGTAATAGTAACGGCGTATTTTAATTTCATCAAATCGATTATGAACAGCAGTTTAGTTTTGGACACAACCCGAAAAATACACAGTATAGATGACTGGAGAGCAATATATATCCTAGAACTTGATCATCTTGAATCAAGGATTTAACTGACTTTAGAGGCACTTAGCATAGTGGCAAGACAGGTTGTGTAATCGAACCCCTGTCATGGTAATGATAGTGTGGCAGGACGGGCTTGACCTCTAGCTTCAACTCAACCACAACTTGATCGGATTTGGCTGCAATAGTTTTACCAAGAGAAAACTCTAGACGCAAAAAATGACTTTGATTAGCAAAAAAAGCTACAAAACACCTCAGTCTGGGTTTTGAGGTAAAAATAAACGGACCTTGCTGAGTATGAAAATAGTTTTTTTTTCCCAATAGTTCATTTTGACTGCAAAAAAGGTTTGTTTATATGTGCATGTTATAGATATATATATCGCCAGCGCTGTGAAAACCATGTCACAAAACTTATTAACTTTTATCTGAAATGCATATGTTCATAGAGCATTTAAGTTCAATTGTATTGGATTTTTTTGTCTGTCTTTAAAGAACAAAAAATAATCGATTAATATTGATTAAAATCATTATGACTTTTTTCTAAATACTAAAATTCTTTTTAATTGATTATCTTTGATTATAATACGTTATAATCAGTTTTCTTTCTCTAAAATTAGTCGGAATTGTGCAATTGAGACAAATTTCAGTAATTTTAAACTCTCATTTCGCAAATTTATACGTTGCGTTTGCAAGTTAGATGTTGATATATCTAAAAATGGTTTTTTTTTCTCACTTTTTCCGTTCACAGTTTTTCCTATCAATATGTTTAGTTTCTCATTTTAGTGGCCTTAAACCCTGCATAATCGAATTTAGGTCATTTTTGACCATCCAGCATATTAGCTCCACGTGATGCAAATTTCGACAAATCTTGAAGAACTTTGGAACAATCTAAAAGAAAAATTGTTAATGCTACATAGCATTAAAGTTGAAAGTATAGTATAAGGCCAGTATAGTTGCTTGGCAATACCAGCTATATAGCTCAGCGTATACATAGTGCGTTCCGGGGAGTTCGGCGTGGGTTCGATTCTCACATAAGTCGTTTTATTTGAGAATCCTATTTGAGCCGAACCTGGCAGAACATAAAATGCCAATATTTTAATCGGTTCAAAATTGGTTTGCAATTGAGTTTCTGTTAATTAAACTGCGTGAACTAAGTATGATCTCATTGTGAAAAAATACATAAATCACACAAATCAGGGCATGAACAAGCCCACTTTTTATCTTGATACGTGTAAGGTTGTTGCTAATTCCGTGCAATAAAAAATTACTAAAATTCGCCGTTTATTGATTCTTTTGAATTAAACCGATTCTGTTTCCTGTTTTTATAAATTATCAAAAAATTATAAAAAAGGCCAGAATATTTTGTTGCCGCGACTCGGGAAATCGAAGCAGCTAAGGAATTGAAGACTGTAGAGAATCTTATAAAAATACAGGCTTCAGATGAAGTTTATATCATCGGCTTTTTCAAGGAAGGCTCATCACTCAGCTCAGCTTTTGCTTCTGCTTCAAACAAATTGCGAGGTAACTTTAAGCTGGCACTTACAACAAGTGAAAAAGTAATCAAAGCAGCATCCGCGACTGCGGAGACAGTGACACTCTACAGACCAAAGAGGTTGATCACGAAATCGGAAGAAAGCTTTGTAACTGATGCTTCCGCCAATTCCGCCCAAATTTCGAGTTTTGTCAAGGATAAATTAGCCAACGTTCAAATCGGCCGACGGATACCAAAACCAAGGACCCAAGGATATTTTTGGACAATTAACAAAACCGAAAATGTTCTGGACCAAAATTTAAAAGAAACAGCTTGATTGGCCGACGACGCAGAGGGCCGACAACTCCAAAAACCGAAACCCAAAAAATTCTCGGCAACACCCGAAATTTTGTGGATTTTGGTCTACAATCCGATGAACTTTTCGTCCCGACAAAAAACATGTAAGAGCGATCCTGTTTTTTGTTTTGTCCATTTCTCAACTCAATTATGCTATAAACTGAAGCTATGGGTGCTATGATTCATAGTTTTTTTTTGTCATTATTAGGATTTGCTAGATTTCATATTTTGCTGTAAAATTACATACGATGTTGTTAATTGCAAACCGATTAAGACCGTACTAGATACCTAATCCTAGTTCATACCCTACCCAGTACCCTTTTACCCCAGTATAATCTCGAACCCAAAAAATTTTGTGAAAAAAAAATCCAGAAATTTTTCCAAAAAATTTTCGCAAAAAAAAATAAAAATTTTCAAAAAAAGAAAAAATTTCTCAAAAATAAAAAAAAGTTTATTCCAACTTTTCCCAAAACTTTCACTGACAAAAATTTTGTTTTTTGCCCGAATTTAGAGCAAAATTGGAAAACACCATTTTCGTCTCGCCCGTTCAACCGTTTAAAACGTCAATCGTGTCGAGCAAGTTTTTTGAGTGAATCCCTGCCTCGGTTTCCTCCAGTGGTTGGATAAACGTTAAAAATTTGCTCGGCTCGCCC